GGAGACGAGACCGCCCCCTTCTTCGGATTCCTCGGCGCCGCCGCTGCCCTCGTCTTCTCCTGTAAGCAACCTAGGGTTTCTCCTCTCTGTCTCTCCATCGATCTGATCCAAATCTAGGGGTTTTGACTGATTTTGTTCTGATCCAGGCATGGGAGCCGCGTACGGAACAGCGAAGAGCGGCGTCGGAGTGGCGTCGATGGGAGTGATGAGGCCTGAGCTCGTGATGAAGTCGATCGTGCCCGTTGTCATGGCTGGAGTTCTTGGAATCTACGGGTTGATTATTGCTGTCATCATCAGTACGGGGATAAACCCTAAGGCGAAGTCCTACTATCTTTTCGATGGATATGCTCATCTTTCTTCAGGTTTGGCTTGTGGCCTTGCTGGGTTGTCGGCCGGAATGGCGATCGGGATCGTCGGAGATGCTGGAGTTAGGTAAAGAATTTTCTCTCTCTTAGATCCGTTCATTTTTCTGTCTTTACTTTGTTTTTGTGATGATTAGATCATAGATTATCTTCAGGATGTATTACTTTATTGGTAGCTTTTTGACGTTAAATTACTTTATTATTATTTGTTTGATCTAAGTTTTCCCCGCAGGACAGTGGTTTAGGTTAAGAATATGGTGTTGGTGGGTTAGTGCGAAAGATATGTAGGCTATTTATGTTTTTCTTAAGTTAGAAATCAACTTCTAGATCACATTGATGATTTGATGTTGAATGGTTAATGGTGATATCTATTATTATTAATTCGGCTCAGTAAATTGATTGGGTTATTTATGGTTCGGTGGGATTCTTACTAGTAATTTTGTTCTAGATTTGCGTTAATAGTGCTTTTTTGTATGAATTATGTCTAGGTGGCTTGACATTGTTTTATAATAATTTGTTTAAACTGCTTACTCTTCTAAGTTTGTATAGAAACTTTAAGAGACGTATAATGAAACTTTTATATTCTATGAAAAATAAGAATTTTAATTGTGAATGGTTTACATTCAAAAATATGACTCACCCAACTTCAAGCATGTAGGATGGAACCAATATGCCAAGCTGGTTAAGTTAGTTTATTTAGCTTGGAAAATAGCATACACCTGCTCTTTGTTGGATGTGCATATAAGTTCTTATTTGTTGTGCTCTTCATCTCCCCCCCTCCTTTTGTTCTTTCTCAAATAGTCAGTAAACATTGTATTTTCTTGCTTTAATTATTAAATCTTGAAGTATTGTTTTCAAACATCTAAAAAAAACTGCTACTAACATAAGTTATTAACTGAATAAGTAAATTACTTTAGGGAATTGTTGCTATGGCTTTAAGGATAAATGATGTAAAGGGGACATTGTATTTACTTGTAAAGTTTAATCTCCTAACCTGCTATACCTCTATCAAGTCTAGAGGAACTAGTTCGTAGTCATCTCTGATCCTCTCTGTTATTATTACCGTGTAGGAAAGTAGGATTGATATGTGATGGTTCTCAATTGTGTATCCATGTATTGTTCTAGGCTGCAGCAACTTGAGTTTTACTTTCTTGATTATTTTCTTTAGTTATTGGTAGTTTTCTTTTATTGTTGTTAGATATTTCTTTCTTGCTTATTTTCTTTTTCGCTAAAACCTTATCAAGGTTCTTGAGTGTTTATTAGCATGTAAATTTTTAGCAATAGATGATCTTTTGGTATTTATTTCTTTTTAATAGAAGTTCTCTTTTTTGGATAAGCACTTGAGCAACTTTTGAATTTATCTTAACTTTTTAATTTTTCTTTGTCACACACACACAAATGCACACACAAATGCACACACAAATAAGGTAATGCTATTCTTAGATTTAGGTAAGCATTAATTAAAATAAACTTCTATCTTGTGCTCTTAGATAATAAACCTCCTTCAAAAGCAACCTAGATAATTTAGGCTAAATTACTTTTTAGCTAAATTTTAACTATCACACTATTTGCTAGATGAGAGATGCTTCAGATGGTACGATAAAAATTGATACTAATCCCAAGTGCTTATCCAAAGACAAGAATATATTTGTAAGGAATTGTTATACATGTTTAAAATAATATCATGTGTTGATCTCATGTTTCCAAACTTCTTGTAGCAAGTAATA